GACTGTCCTTGAGCCCACCTGTCTGTCCTTGAGCCCACCAGTGCATCCTTGTGCCCACCAGTGCATCCTTGTGCCCACCAGTGCGTCCTTGTGCCCACCAGTGCGTCCTTGTGCCCACCTGTGCGTCTTTGTGCCCACCTGTGCGTCTTTGTGCCCACCTGTGCGTCCTGGCGCCCACCTGTGCGTCCTGGCGCCCACCTGTGCATCCTTGTGCCCACCAATTCGTCTGTGTGCACACCAATTCGTCTGTGTGGCCACCAATCCACCTGTATGCCCACCAGTCCACCTGTATGCCCACCAGTCTATCCTTGTGCCAACCAATCCATCCGTCTGTGTGCTGACCTACCCATATGTGTGTCCACCATCTGTCCACATATCTCTAGCTGTCAATGTGTTAACATATAACTCATATTTGTTGTTTGTCTCAGGTATGATGAAAGTCAGATCAGAAAAGCGTACTTCAGATTGGCTCAACGTTACCATCCCGACAAGAACCCTGATGGACGAGTGAGTAGCTGTATAATCTCATCAAGCTAGCAGGCAAAAAAAAAATGGTCTTGCTTTTTGTCATGCACAACATTTTAAAACCAGCCCCTCACTTTTTTTTTGCAATTTTGCGTGTTGTACTACATATGGTAGAATAGAGTCCATAGGTTATGAAATGGTTTCATGCAAGACATGATATCTGTTCTCTAGCTTTATGTATCAGTTATATTGCTATAAGCCATGTGCTGATTACTTTCCCATCATCAGGGTCTACTCTATTTGCCATTTGATACAGTTAATGCATCATGTGTCCTATTGTTTACCGGTGCATGTGATAGCATATGTGAACTGCATGTGTTTTCTATTCATAAATACCCATGGAAACGATTCAGCATTAAAACGATGCCAGTTATGAAAGAAATAGAAAAATTAAATAAGCATTTTCTGATACGTTGGTTTCTTATGCGTTATTTACTGATACCTCAGTTACTAGTAATGTTGCTATGGTTACTGATATCCCATAATTTCTTTACAGGATATGTTTGAGAAAGTCAACAAGGCATATGAGTTTTTATGCAGTAAACAGAGCGTGACAAGTGGTCCTGATCCAGAGAATATAGTTCTCATATTACAAGCACAAAGTATATTATTTAACAGACATAAAGATGGTATGTTCTGAAAGCTTTTAAGTATATAGAAGTGATCAGCTATAGTATTATATTCATATGATGGGTACACATTGGTGTTTCCATGGTCAAAATAACTTTTGTGAAATTGGATTGGAAGCTGCATTCTTTATAAAAGTCCAACGCTTTCCTTTTGAGTAATTGAGAACCAAAAATTCACCATTTCTCATATGTGTAGATGATCTAATAGAAGCTGCATCCCCTCTTTTTCATTGTATCACTTTAATAAGTCTTGACTTTTACAGTAATATTGTAATAATTTAGCATACAACAAATGCAAGTTTTGGTTAATATGTCACTTCTAGAAAATTGAACTAATATTCAGAATTGTTGGTACTACTGTAAATAATTTATTTTAGGCGGAATTAATTTGCGTTGAAAAGAGGTTTTGGGTGTTTTGTATGGAATTTATTTTCACTGATTTTTGATGAGTTGAACGTAAAATATAGAAAAAAGAGTATATTCGCTAGATTTTATTTTCACTGAATCATTCCTTCAGCGAGAATTAATTCCAAGCGAATATAAAGTATTCCACAGTACTTATAATAAGTTTATTTAATATAATACAAAAATTGAAAGCTAATTTTACAACGAAATTATATTGATAATAATATTAATGATGATAATAACAATAATATGAATTTATTACAAGGATATTTCAAAGTATGCACAAAGACAGTACAGTGAGAGTATCGACCGACGGTGTACTGTGTATTTGAAATTTACATTTCCTTATATGGTAGAATGAAAATACCCCGCAATTATTGTTGGTTGGGAAGTAAAAAATAGCTGAAGTGAAGCTAGTCAAATCTACTAGTTGTGAACTAACTATTAAAATGAGGTGCAAACTCTTTTAATCCAATAATCATGGTAATACTTCATAACATATTTCATCTTTTATCAGATTTACAACCATATAAGTATGCTGGATATCCTATGCTTATAAAGACGATACGCATGGAAACCAACGATGATAAGTTATTCTCTAAGTCGGCACCGCTATTGGCTGCAGCAGCAGAGTTAGCGTACCATACTGTGAACTGTTCAGCTCTCAATGCTGAGGAGTTAAGACGGGAACAAGGAATCGAGGTGAGAGTTGGTATGTGTGTACGATGCAAGGAAATACAAAGATGCAGTGAACAATGGATTATAACTATTGGTTATACTGTTTGACAGTTACACTTGTGATGTTAATACTAGTATCATGTTTATTACTCTGAATTATTCAATTTTTGCTACCATATTAGTGCATCTTCAATAGAAGCGCATATAAAAAAATTACACTGTACAAAAACAACTGTCTGTTGGATCTTTCAAATATGAACTACAATGTATTTTGACCATAGATTGCCTGTTATTTACATGAATTCAGGTGCTACAGTACAGTTCTCGCGAAAGCTTTGGCTTTTGTGGCATCATTGTCGCCTACGCCTGGCTTTATAGTCGCCTCAGCATCGCATCATTGTGGCATCAGCTTCGCGTCATTGAAAATTGAAGCTGTGTTCGCCTAGCTTATTTTGTGGCATCATCGTGGCTTCAGCTTCGCAATCTCATAGCATCAACATGGCATCAGCTTCAAAGTATTGTGACATGAGTATGACCTCATTATTTTTACACGGAAAGGCAGTAGAGAAAAACACATGTACAGAAGTTCGATATGTAATCGATTTGAAATTCAAGGCGGTAAGGGGAATAAAATAATATGACCAAGAGTAAAATGACATATTAAAAAGATATCTTGTTTAATTATTTAATGTTGTGAGTATTGGGTACCAAAAACTTTGTGAAGTACATTGCAATCTGCAAGGTGACGAGTGTCATATTGACTGCAAGGAAAATCGTGATAAATTTAAATCACACGATGCAATCATCGTTCAGATACAACACAATTTGCTATACAAAATTAAACTGTTCTTGTTATAAAATTATCTTATTTTTGTTCATTTTATTTGCTGGTAAAAGAACAGATTCAGATTCCTCATTTCGGTGGTATTTTTCTGTGTTTCGTTTAGTTTTAGCCGAGTCCGACCCCCCATGCCCGGACTACTAATACACGCAAAACTCACGTACGCCGCCTGGTGCGTCGGCATGTCGCCTGCCATCTGGATACAATGTTCCAAAACAAGTCCGTACATTTCTAACTATGATTGGATGGTTGTGGTGGCGTCGGTCTGGTCTGGACGTCAGGACTGTTTGGAGAAACAAACGGGGATCGATATTCCAAACAAATTATTGAGACACGGTCGGTAGACATTTCAAACAAATGAAATTATTAACGAAAGACGAGATTTGTCCAGATATTTACGAACATACTGTCATACCAAATATATGCAAAATTGACAAATACACAAAGAGATATTAGGTTTTATTTTAGCCTTAGAAATATTTTCTTTCACTCAGTCCATGGAAGGTACTAACGGACCTTCCATGCTCAGTCCATGCGTGGGACTTCTATTTAGCTTCATGGTCCTTCGGCTTGTGTTCTCCTTGGGGGAAATAACAATAATTATACAAATCGTAAACTCAACACAGTCAGGAAAAGAAACCCAGACAACCATGTCGTACTTCTGTTGAAATACATTTTGTAGCAGTGCGTCACGTCAGAATATTGTTTAAAATAAAATAGTCAATCCCTGTTGTGTCGTCACAGGAAGCGCTGTCCCAGCACAGTGTAGAAGACGCCAGCCAGCAGAGTCAATGAGTCAATCCCAGCCAAATCTAGGTCAAAGGGGTCAGATTGCGTGCATATAATTATAGATAGTTAAAACAAAAATATTTGAACTTTTGACGGTTGTTCAACATCTATGCATGGTTACTAAACTAGTAACGTGATCTATGAAAACCAGAAAATTGTTGGTAGTCCGAATTTTTGCATAGTAGAAAATAAAGCGGAAATCCAACAAGCGGTCCCAAAAGCGAGCGATTGAAAAGCGGAAGCAGGCGAGAGGTTGGGCGAAATGAGTTCTGTATTTATTTGTTTGATGAAGCGATGCTGATGCCACATTGTCGCCATAATGAGGCCACAATGAAGCGAAGCGATAGCCGCCTAACATTTTAATGTCGCGACATTGATGCGATGCTGAAGCCATAACAATGCCATAATGATACGATGCTGAAGCGAAGGTGAAGCTGAAGTGAAGCCAAAGCTTCCGCGAGAACTGTACTGTACTAATAAGAGCAAATAAAGGATTGATTTTCATGATTTAATGGCATTCCTTCGGGCAAAATTGATATTGCAAATGATGTATACATGTATATAATAAATGCACATAATTTTATCTTACCTGTAGACACTGCATGATGCCTTTGCCAGATGTGTAGCTGTTCTCAGTGTGTCTACAAAACCAGAAGAGATGGCAGTGCAGGTAATCACTTGCTAAATAAAACTTACATACTTGTCATATAAAGGAGGAGTCTATTCTAGTGGTGTAAAGAAAAATCAACATTGTACCCAATCAATTTATAATCCCTAACCTTTTCGCCACCAGTTTCGAAAAATAGTACCGTCTATAGTCTGCACTTTTTTTTAGAAGATTGGGACAAAAATAGCAAAATGTTTTGAGTAAAAACTGAAAATCAACTCAAATTTTATCTGTTGGCTCCAAAATTAGGGTTCATTTCCAGAAATATTGAAGAATATACAAAAAAAAGTGCAGACAAATTTGAGTGAGAAAGGTGAAAAGGTTAAAGTGGGCTTAGAAGTCTCAAAAAGAACACCAATTGAAAACAAACAAATATGTTACAATACATGGTCAAAATCAGTGAGAGAAAGATTTATGATATATGGCTTACAGCCAGGCAATGATGAAGACAAACAAAGGATGCTGATAACAAAATGGCTGCTCTAAATACACGTATGGTCAAAATGTATGTTGTAAAGTAGTTCATTTGGAATTTATTTTCACTATTTTTGCTGAAGTAATCCAGTTTTCTTATATTTTACATTCAGCTATTCAAAAATTAGTAAAAATAAACTTCATACAAAACAGCCAAATTATGTTTTCAGCAAAAAATGAATTCCAGCTAAAATAAAATATTTTATAGTAACTGATCCATGTTGTTTTTCATCTCTAGGTGTGTACGCATGTGATACGATGTTACGCTGTAGCTGCTCAGTTTGGTGCTTGTCGTGAAAAAATTATGGAAATGCCAAGTATTATAAAAGATCTATGTAGAACACTGTATTATAAAGTAAGCATTAAGTTTACACTGTAAATATATGTGTGGTCAACTGCACCTATAGTACTGACTGACTGACTGACTGACTGACTGACTAACAAGACATTCACTTCTCTAGAAGACTTTAGACCAAATGCGACCAAGATCTGATTTGTTTTGCCCTTGAAATTAGTGCTTCATTCTCACCATTATCACATTTACTCATTGAGAAAATGGAACATTAATCAAAAGGAAGGCTGCGTGGCTCTATCTCTTGAGATCTCTGAGTACCGATGTATTTATTTGATTTCTTATCTTCTTGTTTGTTTCTTCTTCAATATTGATTAAATTCAGGAGAGTCTTTGTTTGCTTTAAACCATCAGTGGATGTCACCTCAAACTACATGTGACCTATTGACTATTCAAATCATCAAGTTCTGATTGGTTGCTGAGCCTTGAACGTGGTTTGATGTTGGTCAAAATGCAGATAGAGTACATTGATGACCATTTATTATAACCATTCTGAGAATAATTCATTGTATCATTAACACACAACAGTTTATAGATAATTCAATTTTATACTCAATGAGGGTAACATGCAGGCTTGCAAATTGATACGCATTCATTAGATATACGAATAGGTTATTTTCATATGTTTCAATAATATTTGAATTACATACAAAATAGATAAACAAAAATTGAAGAATAGTTATTGAGTATGTACACTAAATTTAAAAATAATCATGTTGCTCACCCTATAAAATGATGAATCACACACAGTACGTCATCTATTAAGCGACGCCATCAAGTCTAGAACAAAACAAACCCTAATTGTTTGGCTAAGTAACGAGCCATCTTGCTACTATAAACTCTGTCTGAATAATTCTCCGAACTATCTGAAAGCAACCAGAGCCACTATGTAATTGCAATTGAGTTTTTGACTACATCATCCGTCTCCCACTGATCACCACTAGCTTGCTATCTGCTAGAACTTATGATTATGTTTATTTTATTAACAGGAACACCTGTAACAGCAGTAAACAACAGCATTTTATCGTTAGGTACAAGCAACTGGTTCTTGCCAACCAGTCATTGAACGGCTAAAAAACCTTGAGCATCCAATTGTGGATCAAACAAACTATTTTTCATGACTCACATTCACAACTTATGCATCTGTTATTTAAATTATGCGAAATCATGTCAGTTTCTCAAGTTTGTTTAACCATGATTCAACTGTCTGTCTTTCAGAATCTACCGTTACTTTGTTCAGTTGCAGCGGAGTGTGCAAGTGCACTCTGTGTAGACTACTATCTACAGAACCATTTACTACAGGCAGGCGTCATATGGCATCTCATGATCTATCTATTCAACTATGATTTCACATTGGAAGAGTCTGGAGTAGAGAAAAAACAAGAATCAAACCAACAGGTGAGTGGAGGAAACAAATTACAACTATCAGAAAAATATGTGTGGATTGGAGGAAATAAATAAACGACAAACTATTTTGCAGTAATGTATTATGGGAGATTTTTTAAATAGTCTATTGATTTAAAATGGAATTGTTGTAATACATTAACATGAATGTAGAACAAAACTTTTGATTTTATTTATTTATTTATTGCTTCCCTTTTGTAACAGGGGCTCACTATGTAAACTAGGAGCTGCACCAAATAAAAAATACATTTCACTCAAAGACTTATGGATAAAGAAAAAAAACTTTTGATAGACAAAAAGAAATTAAGTTACATGAACTAAGATAACAAAATATAACAACAACAAAAGACATCTAAAAGTAGCAACAACAAAAAAAAATAAGAAAACTAAAATTAAGAAGTACACTGGAAAAATATTAAATATTATCTGTATACCTCTTTCT